GCACAAATTCATTATAAAAATGTACATGAACAGCAACTCTGCTTCAAAAATAGCTTACAGACTACATGACTCTGTCTAAAACGGTAAACAAGCCGCTCAGCAGCCCGAGATTGAGACAGATGCTACAGACGGCAGGCTCTGCGGCCCGACACCAACCAATAAACCACACGCAAAGCATCCTGGGAAAACACAGCGGCTCCCTCAGAGACGCCTTCGGTCCATGCGACTCGCTTCAGGACACCAGTTGCAGAGCGCGTCGCCTGAATATTGCACAGTAAGACTAAAAGAGCCAGGCAGTGGCGTTTATTGAGGGAGCGGTGCTGTGGTTAAGGCAGAGGGGATTATGGGAGTTTGATGGTGTGGCGTCTCTCTCAGCAGCTCCTGCAGATTAATTAAACACCACCACTGTTAAACACTGCACAAATAGGCTTCTCCTACGAGGATTTGTCTGGTTTCTAATGTATACATATGATATTAATAACTGTTTTCTGAACTTCTAGAACAGTTGTTTCAAGAAATGGGTCAAAAGTAGCCGAGTTTTTCCTTAAAACAAGCTAATAATCTTACCAAAAGCAAGATTTGTCTGGTTTCTGATTTATAAAAATGATTATAATCAAGATCTGGGATGTAAAAACAATTGTTTTCATAAATAATCCAAAATTAATCGAGTTATTCCTTAAAACAGGCTAATAAACTTATTCCTAAAGGCTTTGCTTCATCTATTGGCAAATTATTTTGCTTGTTTCACTTGCTTAAATTATTATTTTTTTTAAAACAGTGTTATTTTTTTGGCTCGTCTAGAAAATGCTTTAGTTTTTCAGATATTTGGACTAGAAACAAGACAGAAATATTGAAGAGAGAAAGCCTTTTGCGCAGTGTCGGCCTGAAACTGTTCTGTAGGCAAGCACACAAATGCTCATTCTCTGAGTGACCACAGGTGGCGCTGTAACCACCTACAGGTTTTTTTTCGCAAGTAAACAACAAACTTGTAACAAATCTGCTAAAAGGTAAACCTTGTATGCTTGCGTCAAGAACAGCTCAAGGGTAAATGCTTTACATTCTTAAGAGGGGGTCGTGAGGTATCGTAGTTGCACTGAAACAGTGCAAGCACCAGTGGAAAAACACCCCAAAACCGGTTTCGGGATGCGCAAAATAAACGAGAGTCACACAGAACAGCGCTGAAAGACAGCGAGTGGTCCAGCAGACGATAAACCAGTGCTTTAACATTCTTCTTAAATTAAGGTTTCGGATCAGGCCTGAATTGTGGAGTCACAGGAGCGACGGCGATTTATCGGTCGGACGCGAGCACCGGCAGATACCCAGAATGCTCAGCTGGACACCATCATCAGGAGGTTTTTGGGTGGACTCCTGCGGCCGCTCATCATGTAGGTGTTTTTGCAGTTCGCCATTTGGTCGTACGCTGAAGGGGCGGGGCTCGTGGTGGGGGGCTCTGCTTCATAGAGAACACATATTGATCCGTCCTCACCGATGCGGTAGGATACTTCATACGGGTCAACCCACATTGTCAGCTCTCGCGGTAAGAGCGAGAATAGCTGCCCACTGGTCAGTCCAATGCGGCCGGCCGCTCGGCCAATCAGAGGGTCCATTTCATGGTTGATCCGTATGCAGCGGTATCCTGAACCTTTCTGTGGCCTGTCGGGGAACCAATGGTGCTGGTAGTGTTCTGGAAGAAGAGCGAAGGCATTCGTAAAAATCAAGAAATCAAAATATCAATTTTTTTTAAAACTTAAAAGTACTTTATGATCACTAAAACGGAGTTACGTAATGGCAGACTACCACCTTCATTTACACTTTAAATTTAACGTAGGGCTGAACAATGTGTTGAGAATTGATAATGTAGTCACATGACTGGATTAGCCTATTTATTAAAGATATTGAATATTATTTTTAAAATGATCATACAATCACGATCATGTTGTTTATTTCTGCTCTGTATTTATATTGTAATATATTATATTTTATGCAGATTAACACTGCACATACAGGACTTGATCATCCCAATCAATCTAAATGAAGGAAATCTTTTTAAATAGAGCTGTACAATTCATCCGGTTAAACTTTATTCATATCGCAGAAATACAAAATATCTGCTGGCAATATCGTGCAGGCCTGACATGAAGTATAACAGGGGTATTTTACAGTACCTGAGAGCGCCTGCGCGAGTCCGTCTCTGAACACCTGGAGCTGCGCGTCACTGAGGCGGCCGCGGCCGCGCAACAGCCGGCAAACAAAACTGGCGGCGGCCGAAACCTCCGGGGTCATCTCTGCTCCGGTGCCGTGGGTCATTATTATCCGTCCGGCAAAGATCAGAATGAAAACTCAGATGATTCAATGGTAAATTCAAAGATTTTAAAAAAGCCGCCGTCTTCTTTGTCTTGTCTCTGATGAATTAGTTCAACAAGTTTACAGACGATGAATCAATAAACAATCCTCGCGCGGAACCCGCTCCGTGCTCGCTGTGTCTGCTCTGATGTGTTGTGAGAGGAAACCCCACCGATATATACGCGCAGAGCCATCGACGTCATGAGGGCTCATTTGAGTGACGCGCGCGTCGTCCAATGACGCAAGGAGGCGGGTCCCAAGCGCTGCACTGATTGGTCGTCAGGGTGGAAAACACTGCATGTTGTGGTGACGCTCGCTTTCCGTCCGCATCCATATATGGAGATTGACGTAAAACGCCGCTCTGGTATGCGTGACGACATTCGGGGGAAAAACAAAGACGGCGTGTACCCGCGCGCGCGCTTACCGTAAAGTTTCGGCGTTTAATTTTAGAAGCGAGGAGCTGGGTTTCCTCTCTGATCGACGCTCAGGCGTGGGTGATAGCAGGAACATTCTCAACAATCAATCTAAATATTACTACAAAACACAACCAACACCGCGTCCCGTGAAGCTCTTCATCTTAAAATAAACATAAATGTGTTCAATTATAAATGATTTAACAGTATAAACATGATTAAACTATGTGTCTATGCACTGGGATATAAATCTTTTTAAGATCTACACAAACAATATATTCAGTTGTTTAGCTGTTATTATGAACAGTGTTGCGGCGACCCCTGGCGGCCGAGCGCACTGCGACAAACGGAAGCATATATCAAATATAAGTCAGATCTTTTTTCCCCATTTTGGTTCAGATTTGCCACATACATGGCGAGAGTCTTCAGCCCAGCCTCAGTCTGACTCGCAGGAACATCTCTGTCACCCTGCCATCCCTGCATCTGTTGCCATGGAAACCGCTCACATCGCTCGCCTCTCTTCCAGCAGCTTTTATTTCTGTGCTATAACACAAATCAGTCAATAATCCCCTGCTGCACATGCAGAGTCCTGCATCGTATGAGTGCTGTTACATGCTATTCTGTCTATCTATCTATCTGTCTATCTATCTATCTATCTATCTATCTATCTATCTATCTATCTATCTATCTATCTATCTATCTATCTATCTATCTATCTATCTATCTATCTATCTATCTGTCTGTCTGTCTGCACACGCACCAAACTCATTTAGATGATTTTAATTAGCATATATATATACATACATACACAAAGAGAGAGAGATACACACACACACACACACACACACTCACACACACTAATTAAAACAATCTAAGTGAGCTTGGTTAGGGTGAACACAGATGGCAGGTTCTGCTGTTGTGTGTGTGTGTGTTTGTCATGAAGACTGACAGCAGGTTGTCTATATTTGGCTGTGGTGTGTGTGTGTGTGTGTGTGCTGCAGAAGTTGATGCGGTTCATGTGAAGGACTCTCACCATGGCAACACATGTGTCTTCCTGAGCGCCGGCTGAGACACGATTCATTGTTTCTATAAATATGTCATATTGCATGTGTGTGTGTGTGTGTGTGTGTGTGTGTGTGTGTGTGCACTTGTGTGTGTGTTTTCAGGGTCCAGTGACCCGTCAGACCAGTGGTGCTCCTGTGTCCTGTGAGACTGGAGTAGGAAGTCGCCATCTGGAGGTGAGATGGGGCATTATGGGTAATCCCACAGGAGGTGTGTGTCCTCCTGCAAACACACACACACATGCACACTCATACACTCATACACACACAGCGCCTGCAGTGCAACTGCTGTCTCCTCTGATCTGAGCTGACATGTCCCTCCAGCAGTGTGTGTGTGTGTGTGTGTGTGTAAATACTGCGTCTTGCTCCACCTTCCTCTATCAGCACAGGAGAATGATGGGATCTTTAATGGTTCTCTTGAGATAAAGTCATTAATAGACTGATGATTCTGACTCCAGCAGTCAACATGTGAAGTTGGAGTTATTCAGATTCACCCTGAGACAGTAGCGGGTGCTGCTATCAGGGAATCTCTGTTTCAATGTTCACTTTATTTTCAGCAACAGCCGTTTCTGTCCATCGATTTTATGCACATATTGGAAAAGCCCATAAAAAAGCTTAATGCATATTTTACAATCAAAATCAAAGCCCCACCCCCCTACTCAATATTCAGTTTCAGTTGGGAGTACATCAACATACTAAAATAAAAATCAGTCAAATTCTGAGCTTCTGGTTCTGCGTTTTGATTGGCTTATTTTAATTATGTCAGTTTGATGCTTCAGCTGCAATATTCTTAGCCACGCCCCTCTTACCGTTAGTTTGCAATGAGGGAATAATGCAAAAAAGAAAGCCACGCCCACTACTCAATATTCAGTTTTAACAAACCGTTTCACGCGAACTTTAAGCTTATCCAGGTATGTCACATGACCTGCATTCTGCTTTTCGTTTGCTAGCGCACAGTTATTCTTTATTCTTACCGTTGGTTTAATAAAGGAATGATCTGCAAAAAAGAAGCCCCGCCCCCTACTCAATATTCAGTTTCTGTTGGAAATACATCAACATACCGCTTCACATGAACTTTAAAATACATCTAGGTTAGTCACATGACCTGCATTCTGCTTTGTTTAGCTAACGCACATTGCTATTCTTTATTCGTACCGTTAGTTAGCTAAAGGAAGGATCTGCAAAAAGGAAGCCCCGCCCCCTACTCAATATTCAGTTTCTGTTGGAAGCACATCAACATACCGTTTCACGCGAACTTTCAATTTATCTAGGTTAGTCACATGACCTGCATTCTGCTTTCCTCTAGCTAGCGCACACTGTTATTCTTTATTCTTATTGTTAGTTAATAATGCGTAAAAAGAAAGCCCCGCCCCTACTCAATATTCAGTTTCAGTTGGGAGTACATCAGCATACTAAAATAAAAATCAGTCAAATTCTGAGCTTCTGGTTCTGCGTTTTGATTGGCTTATTTCAATGATGTCAGTTTGATGCTTCAGCTGCAATATTCTTAGCAACGCCCCTCTTACCGTTAGTTTGCAATTAGGGAATGATGCAAAAAAGAAAGCCACGCCCACTACTCAATATTCAGATTTGGTTTGAAATACATCAACATACCGCTTCACATGAACTTTAAAATATATCTAGGTTAGTCACATGACCTGCATTCTGCTTTGTTTAGCTAACGCACATTGCTAGTCTTTATTCGTACCATTAGTTAGCTAAAGGAATGATCTGCAAAAAGGAAGCCACGCCCCCTACTCAATATTCAGTTTCTGTTGGAAATACATCAACATACCGTTTCACGCGAACTTTCAATTTATCTAGGTTAGTCACATGACCTGCATTCTGCTTTCCTCTAGCTAGCGCACACTGTTATTCTTTATTCTTACTGTTAGTTAATAATGCGTAAAAAGAAAGCCCCGCCCCTACTCAATATTCAGTTTCTGTTGGAAGCACAAAAGCATACCGTTTCACGCGAACTTTAAGCTTATCCAGGTAAGTCACATGACCTGCATTCTGCTTTTCTTCAGCTAGCGCACACTGTTATTCTTTATTCTTATCGTTAGTTAATAATGCGTAAAAAGAAAGCCCCGCCCCCTACTCAATATTCAGTTTCAATTAGAAGCACATCAACACACTGAAATAAAAAGCAGCTTTGGTTTCATGCGGACTTTAAATGTGATGTAAAAAAGGGGGCGTGGCCTTGCTGTGTTGTGGGCGTGACTAAAAATTATCAACATCAATTTGGCAAGTGCAATAATTAGCTTTTTCCTGCGTTTCAAACGATTAACTAAACCCTGGAATGCTATAGCGTGTTTCTGCGCGCGGTTGCTTGTGCTCTGACACGATTCTGTCACGTCCTTTAGTCTCCATCTCTCCCACAGTTCTCCTGCGCGGACCCCTGGCTTTAAGGACAGCGAGTTTATTTATTCATGCCTCTCTTTCTGGTTTACTGGAAGTTGTGATGGCTTGACACAGATTTGCACTTTCCTGTGGCGTGCGTTCTCCTCGCTGCATGCGCTGCCCGCGGGAGAGACTCGCGCATGTTTCCCGGACGGCTGTCAGATCCGCTCACATCCACAATCTCCCACCATCCCACAGTCCTTTTAACCCCACCAAAAAAACAAGATTCAGTATCTCCTCACAAAAAGAGCCCTGGATTCTGTGCGGTTTTTACAGCTAGGATAATACAGCCCTTGTTGACAACAGTTCAAATAAAGTCAAATCTGAATATTTTTGTGTCTCATTTGGGTTTCTCACATGAATGAATCTGGTTCTGAATGAATTATTCAAGTCATTGATTCAGTAAGCTGTTTAAAAAACAGCCACTTGCCTAATTTCTAAATGAATCAACTGTTTTCAATGAATCATTTGACTTATTCATTCAATAAGCTGTTTATAAGACCATTTTTTAATGAATCAACTGTTTTGAACAGATCATGAGTCATTAATATAATCAGCCATTTAGAAGACAGCCACAACTTAATTTCTAAACGAATCAACTGTTTTTAACGAATCATTTGAGTCATTGATTTAATAAGCTGTTTATTAGACACCCACTTGTTTTATTTTTAAATTAATCAACTGTTTTGAATGATTCAATGAGCCATTTAAAAGACAGATACAGCTTAATTTCTAAACAAATAAACTGTTTTGTATGAACCATGAGTCATTGATTCAATGAGCTGTTTATAAAACAGCCACTTGCTTTATTTCTAAACGAATCAACTATTTTAAATGAATCATTTTAGTCAGTGATTCAATCAGCTGTTTATAAAACAGCCACTTGCTTTATTTCTAAATGAATCAACTATTTTGAATGAATCATTTGAGTCAGTGATTCAATCAGCTGTTTATAAGACTCCTACTTGCTTTATTTTTAAATGAATCAACTGTTTTGAATGAATCATTTGAGTCAGTGATTCAATGAGCTGTTTATAAGACTCCCACTTGCTTTATTTCTAAATGAATCAACTATTTAAATCAATCATTTGAGTCAGTGATTCAATCAGCTGTTTATAAAACAGCCACTTGCTTTATTTGTAAATGAATCAACTATTTTGAATGAATCATTTGAGTCAGTGATTCAATCAGCTGTTTATAAGACTCCCACTTGCTTTATTTGTAAATGAATCAACTGTTTTGAATGAATCATTTGAGTCAGTGATTCAATCAGCTGTTTA